CCCTATTTGCCTTAAGTGTTTCAGGCCCGGGCATATGAGGAAGGAGTGCCCTATGTCATCCATGGCTACGACTTCCTCATATGCTAACATAGTTAGCAATGTTCCGAGGTCTGTTGCCAATAGTACTAGTACTGTCAACAAGAAAACAGACTTTGTACCTGCTACGACTTTATTATCTGCAAATAACAGAGTGGATGATGAAGGATTTTTTACACCCAAAAATAGCGCAAAGAAGCGGTCATCATCCGAATCTGAAAATGTTTCTAATGCTATTGCTAACTCTTCCTCTTTGAGTTCTCGAACCAAAAAAGTTGCTTTACAGACACCATCACCACCACCTAGAAAAGAAAAAAAGAAATCAAATATTAATAATAATAGTAATAATAATAAAAATAATAATAACAACAATAATAAATTAAAGTCTGCTGCTGCTGGGGCTAACACCCCTTCACCACCACCTAGAAAAGAAAAAAAGAAATCAAATATTAATAATAATAGTAATAATAATAAAAATAATAATAACAACAATAATAAATTAAAGTCTGCTGCTGCTGGGGCTAACACCCCTTCAGCAATTCCTATTATTACTCCTAAAGTAAAACCAGGCAAAATATCTTTATGTAAAGAACCCCCTCAGGACAGGGAATCCACAGCGACCCTGGCGGAATCCATGGACGCCATTGAAAACATCGCAGATACCCAACTTCTTAACGAGATGCTGGGTAGCATGACTCCCTGTCGATCCACCGACGGGGAGGGTTTTGGTTCGGAGGAGGAGTCTTGTGAAGACTCTCCAACTTGATTTTACTTACCTTACGTTTTTGACTTTCCTGCATATTTATCTTTTACTTACCTTTTTTGTTCTTACCTTTATTTCTCACTTCCGTCATGGACCTAGTGATTGTTTCCATAAACTGTAATGGTCTTTTAGGACCGAACAAAATCCATTATTTAAATAATTTATTACTTCTTGAACGTTTTGATATCGTTTTTCTTCAAGAAACACATGTTTCCGATATCAAAATCGCAAAATATTTTGAAAAGATACTTACATTTTACAAATGTTTTTGGTCCTTTGGATCTAATCGAAGTTGTGGTTCGGCCATTTTGGTTAGAACCTCACTCGATTTTACTGTTAATAAATTTCACTTTGATCTGCAGGGCCGTCTTGTGATCCTTGACATTTCAATAAATGATATATCCTTTAGATTTTTAAATATTTATTGCCCTAATAATCCTTCCAAAAGGAAAGATTTCGCATCTTCTTTGAGTCATCATCTCGTTTCATCTAGGCACATAGTCCTTGGTGGAGATTTTAACTTTATCCATGATAATGTTTTAGACA